TGAACTCAGGGAAATGGCAGCCCCCTGTTCTAATGATGCCTTACCCGGGAAACGTGGCTCTCTGCCTTGGCTGACCGTTCCCCTTCTCTGCATCTCGTGGGCATAATATGGAGCAGAAAAATACAACCCGCTCAACAGCAACAAAGACCTCCTCGGTTGAAAGCGAGGGTGGAAGCCCGTCGGGGCCCTACTCCAATCCTGGGGTGGGTGGCACAGCACCCCCCAATACCGACGCCTTGGAAAGGCAGCTAAGCAACATTGCGGCTGCCCGACCTTCTGGCAAAGTAGAGGGGAGGTTGGGCCATCGACCAGCGCAGACTCCAAACGCTTCACGTATGCCGAAAAGAGGAGTGCAGGGCACAAACTCCGTCCATCAGAGGACTGGCTAAAGAAGGTGAAGTGGGCCTCGGAAGTGCTTCCAAACTTCAGAGTAGAACCTCACAGACCGCAACAGCAACTGAAAAGGAAACGCTCGCAAGAGACGCCTGGACCAGCTGCAAAGCGATCCAGGACACTGCCGAACGTGTCCTTCGCGCATATTGCCAAGGAGAGGACGCTGATAGGCGTCGTCGACAAAGGCAGCGCGGATGGCAGAATCCCCAGGAGACAGTGGAAGTGGGTGGAAGCGGCATTGGCCGACCACCTCCAGTCTGCAAAGACATGGGATGGTTCCAGGGTAACACAAAGGTCATAGCCTGCGAAGACGAGCGCTCCGTGCAGCTGTACAAAGCAAAGGTAGCGCAAGTTGGGGAAGTATACCCAGTTCAAGTATACCCTACGCGCAGTTCAACAACAACAATATAAAACGAGAAGGGACGTGTGAAACGCTTCTTACGCTTCACAACTTTTATACCCGAAAAGTGAACACACAAACGTTTGAACTTGTATCGCTTGTTGAAAATTCGTATTTAACTCGTATTTTAAATTCGAAACATGGGAAATAGAAAAAATAACGAGAAGGGACGTGTGAGACGCTTTTTACGCGTCACAACTTTTATACCCGGCACTCAGGACTACATCTAGATGTAGAAGACAACGCCAACCGCTAGATATCGTTCACATTACAGAACACGTCATAAAAGCCTACTAAATAAAATGCATTAAACAAATTGGATTAGTTAATATTTTCCAATTTATGAGATATTTAAAACAGCAATAAAATTGGTACATTCTTGGACCGATAGGTTTCACAGCAAATTTTTCGAAAGTGGCGCCATCTAGCGTTGAAAACCGAGTCTTGGTTAAAAGTCGGAAGAGTAATCGCCAGGGGGAGGGCATAGGCAGGGGCCGAGTTAAGCAGAAGCACAGTGAGAATGAGAGAATGTGAAAGGAACAACAAAAGCTGCGGGACAGGGTGGGTTTAGCAACTGAAAATTAATTTATCCAATGTTGCTATAATAATGATCCGATCGGATCCCAATTTGGTGATCTGATAGATATGGCCATTTCCTACGGATTGGTGTTTTTAGTTTTCTTGTATCTTCAAAACTGTGGATTTGGGGGGTTTTCGCCCTTTTTCGGGGGCGGAAGGGGTCGTGGCTCATTTTTGAAATACACTGGTTTCAGTGTGAGCACACAGCAGTCCGGAGCCAAAATTTGGTGGCTCTAGCTTTTATAGTCTCTGAGAACGAGCCGACAAACAAGACGGACAGACGGACAGACAGACATGGTTCTATCGACTCGGCTATTGATGCTGATCAAGAATATATATACTTTATGGGGTCGGAAACGCTTCCTTCTGTGCGTTACATACAACCGTTATTCTTACAAATACAATATACCCTATTTACTCTTTGAGTACCGGGTATAAAAATAGTTGCTTATTATATTTTGATTATATTATTGTAATTATCTTTTGATCATTATCTTGAATATATATGTCATAAGATAGTCCCACATATACATACATGCATTAAAGATAAATTTAAGGGTTAGGGTTCTAATAATGGGGGTTATATATAATATGAAGTCATACAAATCAAAGCAAAAATTATAACGATATAACATGAATTTCTAATCTTATTTTTGGAGGGGGTTCCTAAGGCAGAAAGTTTTGGGTAGAATCATAATGGCATATTCCTATGTTATTCTACATGGAGGGTGGGTCAAGAGGGAATAGCACTTACACCTTGTTCTTCACAGTCGGTAGTTAACCTTAAGTTCCGTCCGGGTTTGCAGTCCCGACCCAAGGTTCCCGTAAATCTGTTTTCGCAGCACAACACCCACCCCATTTTCCCTGAGCCTAGCCGGCCAACCCTTAGTAGACAAAGAGTGCTGACGAAACTACAGATATGCTACATAATATTTCCACCAAATATCGTTCATGATAATATCTTATTAATGCAGAAGTAACGATATGTCCCTTGGGCAAAATAAGCGGGTGCTGAACATTGAACGGGAGCGATGAGTTGCCGAGACGACTTCCAACTTTAAGTAATCCAGACGGATCTATGAATGGAGAAAGCGAACTGAGGGAACAGGTTTCCACGACTTGCCCATAGCGTTCGATCTCCTTGATGTCTGTGAGACTGTGAGCCCAGAGTGCCTAAGACGATGAACAATTGAAAGAATTGCAAATTTGCATGCGGACGTGAGATCGACATGCGGAGCCACTCTTCCTTAGAGCCTACTAGAAACGATGGGTCGTGAAACCACAGAACTGGCTGGATGATAATGACTTGTGTTCATGCCGAAAAGCATGCACCATGCGCCCTACCAACTCAACAAACACAACAAAAGCAAACTCTCCTACAACCCGAACGTTCTGAGCTGAGCAGCGGCCTGTGCGCACGACTAAATTTAGAATTAAGCTTAGAATATGAAAACAGTGTCACGAATAAACGAAACGAAACTATACGCACGCGCGCTTTTACTTTGTCGAAACCGCGAATTTTCCCCCGACTGTACGAGAAAGCGAACGAAACAATTCGAAGGAAGTCATACACATCAACTTACTGGCAGGAACATCCCACCACAAACAACGTGGAAGGGCGCCTCTCGAGAGAATATCTCGATGAACCACGCGAGGAAACGAAATGCTAGATATGGTGTAACGAACTCTTTTGGCTATGGTGCGCAGGGCGAACTCAGTGGCTGGCAGGTTCGATGCAACAATATTTGTTTTGTTGCCTGTGCGACAAATAAAAGACTAGGGTTTATAGATAACTGCTGGTTTTATTTATATCTTATAACTACATAGTATATCATAAGGCGATCTTATGTTATGGTTTTCTGTACTTATACTTAACACTTGTCGGTCACTCCTGACACTTCGACACACAGGCAGTCTCCAACGGATCTCTTAGCACGAAGCCCTTATCCGTCACAACCCACCTCCGCGCACGACGCGTTCGCTCTCACTAGACTCACTGGCCTATGTTGCTTGCTTCTTCTTCTTTATCAGCTCACTGCCATTTGCACGCACTCGTATCCTCCCGCCTTGACTGTCACGAGCCGCTGCCGCGGACCTCCTTTTTTCGCGGCGCCGGGGCCTGGTCACCGGCCTGTACATTTTCCCTTTCGGTTCCAGTAACTTTCCATCGTCGTCTCTGATGCTTTCTCCCTGCTTCGTAACGAGATTAGGCTGGTGGCGTGATCTCATGGCCATATATGGACATGCGTTGGACCACTGCCAGCCAGATCCCATCGTCCCGCTGCTCACCTCTCGCGCTAGCCTGGCCACCGCTCGGAGAGATACCTCTGCCATTTCACCGTTTCCGGCGCCACCGGATAACTGACAATTGTTAACCCTCTATGCACCATGTGTGTGAGGATCTCTTTCCGCACAATGCTTTCAAAACTGTTTCTTAAATCTATCCAAGTCGAATGCAACGTCGAGGGTACGCACTTATCCCTATTTAACTGATCTCGGCAAAGCTGCTGAAAAAAAATCTTGCAGCTGGCAATAACAGGATTAATCAATCCAAGTGGGTCGTAGAAACGCGCAATTGTTGACAAAACCGAACGCTTTGAGGGTTTTGAATTTATGTCCAACTCAGATAAGGCAAACTACAGCTGATCCGATGCAGGGTCCCTAGCTATACCAAAAGTTTTGGTTATGTCGCTTCCATCGTGAAATCTAAGAAACTTCTCTATCCTTCAAGCACCTCCTGATGACTAGAGCACCATTTCCTAAGCTTAAAGTTACCTCGAGACAGGAGACTAGAAGTTTGATGCATCTATCTATCATCCACGTAAAATTCATTCTGCAGATCAGCTGAGCCAAGAGGGTAGAACTCACCCTCGTCGATGGGTAGCTGGACAGCTAAAAATGATGTAGACCTCGTACCGTATGTCACGGTGTCTAATGTGTAGACATGTATGTTGGACTAGATGGAATCCCGCCATAAGATGCATTTAAGATAGTTGTCAGGAAGCGACACCTTTACGCAGCGGCACATTTTACAAATATCCTCTGTGAGAACGACGAGGTATATGCGGAAACGCATCCGTATGCTAATCAAGGCAGGCTGAATAAAAGGGCCTGTCATCATCACAGCGAAAGTCCAAGCTGAAGGAGTTTGTAGGCGTGAGAAGTGTTGTAGATGTAGATGACAGATGACAGATGAAGAAAAAATGTAAAATTTTACAAAAAACCGCTAAGGTACTGAGTACCGGGTATAAAAGTTGCGACTCGTTGTGAGTTATTTTTTACGAAATTCTATCTACAGCCATATACATTGACGTTGTCCATCTGTTTCTCTACATACTCATATTGATAGGCTTACTGGATAATTAGTGTATATTTTGCCAATAAAAATTGTTAAGTGTATGTAAATTTAAGGCCACTTTCGAAACCTAGTAAGCAGGAAGAGTAAGCATTGAAATATGAACAAAAATAAATAAAATATTCCTTTATTCTTCCCGGAATTACAGTTTTCATCAGTAATTCCGTTTCTGCTTAGTTACTTTAGTTGTATTGATTTGGATTTATACTCAGTTTCTGAAATTTTCTGAAATTTTTTGAAATTAAATTCTTAAAAAAAGAGCTACAAACACTCATGTGCGAGGTGCAAAAGCTATTCGACGGACTGTTCCAGACCATGTCCAGAGCTAGGGATAACCGCCGCAGCAACACGCTAGAATTAGTCAACGAGTTACGATGCTGTAACTGCTGCCATGACAAGCGAATAAAGGACGCTGCAGAGGCTATAAAGAAGCCTCCGGTGCCCCAAATGTTCACTAAGAAGAAAGTTATCTTCCTCTGTGGGGCAATACTTGTGATGATACCCATCGTCACGGTGTTTCTGGCCAGAAATTATAACCACTCCCAATCCCATGGCAGCGGGGCCTGTGTCTCATCGTTTTTATTCACCTTTACGGATTGCGAAGTGATCTTTTGAGAGGTCCGGCGCTCCTGTAACAGGGTTATAGGGATGGAGCAAGGTGGCAAGGTGGGAGAAGGAAGCGTGGCCGTGAAGGTTAGATTGCGAGGGTCAGTTTCCGGGAAGAGCGAAGAGCATGCAAATCGTCGGCAACCGCTAAAACAAAAAAATAAATAAAAATAAGTGCAGAGACAACACGAACACACAATCGTTTAAACGAGGCAAAGACGGCGCGGGAAGGAGGAGACGGCGGCAGCGGACACCAAGCAGGGATCCGACAGCTGGGTCAGCGCCAAGACTGGCCCGGCCGGAGCATTGCTGGAGGAGCACTGCAGGGAGCTGCAACCAACGATAAAACGGCGGACATGTCCAGAGGAAGAGACCGGATCTTCATCGGCACCTCGCCATGCACACACACACTCCCTACACCCGCATGCACTATGGTCGCAATGAACACTTTTGTTGTCCTAAATTAATAACTCGCAAACGAATCAAGATTTTTTCATTTAGTCTTTTGATATTAGTTAAAAATAGCAAGAAGAAGGTTTTTTGAAAAAATGGGCGCCCCTTTTTTTAAGGAAAAATCTGGTTTTAAATTGTTTTCTCAAAATGATAGAATCAAAAAAAAATATGGGAATATGTTTATCAGTACAAGAAAAAAGTCGTATCACCAATTAAAACAGCTTAAAATTCCAAGATAATCGAATTTTTTCTCCCACAAAGCATTCTCTATAGGAGTTTCCATTATAAAACAATATATGTAGCACTGGATATCAAACTCTAGCCCTCCAAAGAGCTAGTGACTAATAATATGGCTTAAATGCAATGCAAAATGGCATCTTACTTCACAATTTTATTCCTCATTGTGTTCCAAACGGAAAAAAAGACATTGCAATTTATCATTTAAGGTTATGATCTATAAATGTAAATTGTAAGAGTTGTGGTCGAATGTGGCATTTTTGACTATAAAAATTTTAACAATCATGAATTACTCTACGACACACATTAGGTTTTAAGGTGGGACTAGGTGGCACTCTATTAAAAAACCTTTTTCAAAAATTAGTTTTCACTACGAACTGACACATATTGAAGGATTCACTTTAAGATACAATTACAAAGACATCGCCAACTACTAGATACCGTTCACATTACAAAACAGGTAGTAAAAACCCTACTGAATAAAATGCATCCAAAAAATTGGATCAGTTAATAGTATTTTTTAATTTATGAATTATGTAAAACAGCGATAAAATTGGTATCTTATCACTACACATGCTATGCAAAAAGGACCGCTAGGTTTCACAGCATATTTTGCAAAGATGGTGCCATCTATGAAAATTTCTGGGACGCAGCTTTGATGGTCCATCTTTTTCTAATACAGAGCGCCAAAAAACCGGGTCTTGGTTATAACTTTTAAAAATTATCGTTTGGCCAAAAGAAGTGGTATGCCATACATGCCATACATTCCATACTGGCATGTATTCACGTAGAACATAGACACTAATATTAACACCATATTAATAGAATATACACATATAATAACATATATGTACATATAATAACACCCTGCGCCCAATAAGCCCATCACACGTCATACCCTCTCATTCACTACAGCCTCAATCGCAATTTATATTTGTTCACACTTATCCACATATATTGTTTTTGGACTTAATTTTCCATAGCATGCGTCACACATACGTGTTTGTGTGTAAGGATCTCTAGGGATTTCTCTATATCCTCCGAGGCTTTAACTTGGCCTGGACTCGAGAGCTACTGAGTAGTATTGTTTTTCCCGGACTCTTCAGAGTTAATACCAGGGTACTTTTTCCAGCAACAAGTGTGTCCTCCTCCCCCACGTTTGTTACGTCTAGCTTAGTTGTTAATATAAAGTATAGGAGTGACTCATCTCTGTTTTTGATATCGGGCTTCTTACACACTGTGGTGGGAATTGGTATCCGTCCCAATGAAAAGTTTTGATCGCTGGAGCCGGCTTCTGCCACCAGGTTCCTAAGTTCTGCAGGTGGTGCGGACCTGACGTGTGCCATGTAGCAGGAAGCTACCATGAGGACATAAGATAAGCGGGGATTCGCTTTCGTACGAGTAGGTCGGTTCTGTTCCTGCTTACCGATGTTGAGTAGAAAGAGTGATAGTAACTAAAGCTACTTCCGGGGGCTCTTGCTCAATGGCAAAGGAGCTCCGCCGACGCTAATTTGCTTTTATGTAGATTGAGCTGCAACACCCTCATCGTCATGTATGGCAGGCTCAACTACACTCGACGGGTTGACCTTTATCATCAGATCTCCGCTCGCTTCGTCTTCCGAGGAGTCATTCAACGCCAGGCGCTGCGCGGTCTCCACGATGGAGTCCATACCTAGGTCTTTCTCCGATATACGCTGTCAATACCCCACGCCATCTTCCCGAATCTCGGGAATAGTAGGTCCTCTGCCTCCCCCCTTCCTTGACTTGCAGAACCTTCCAGTCGGGAGAGTCTTTAATAGCACTCTCAGCGGAAAAAAAATACATACATACAACATCTGTACAGCAAAAAGACAGTCTATCTTGGAAAAAACCGGCAAAGGCAAAGGATCCGGACTTCAGATAACCCCTCCGCTTAGGAGACGCCTACAAACGCGGCTCTGGTTACCGGATCGGAGTGGTATAACTTCCACTGGTTAATCCCCACAGATTAATCGCCGCAGGGAAACCTCTGGCTGCCGGAACTGGCTACAGAAGGGCTGCGAGATCTTTGGGAGTGTTTTGGGAGAGGCATGGTCCACTGTGACCCGCAGGCCCAGAGTCCACAAAACAAACGCTCCTGAAGTTCCAGGGAATATACCCACAGCGAAAACGGCCCACCTCTCGTATACCGACATCATAAGGATGGTGAGGAGGAGAGAGGACGGGAAGCTGCAGGAGTTCGGGGAAAATGTCGACAGAGTCCGACGCACAGCAAAAGGATAGCTACTGCCCGAACTAATGGCACGCAGAAAGAGAACACTGTCCAACTGAAGGACGAGAGCGACCAGGTTCTTGGCGCGCAGGCTGACGTCAGGGCCCTGGTAAGGAGATCCACTACAACCTTGCAACAAAAGATGAAGTCGCCACGCCACTGTCTGCCCAGTTGGGCCACCAAGTGGGCGCAGGATGTATTAAGGTCCTGCGCAGGGTTACGGCGGCTCCCAGGTGGCTGTAGTCGGACTTGCGGACCCTCTTGCAAATCAGCGCATCGAGGATAAAATAAAGATAGACTGCACAAGATGTAGGGTCATAGAGACATCAGGACCGTACCGAAAAAACCGATATGGATAGGTGGGCGTTCGATAGTTCGAGGCGGTACAGAGGCGGTACGCAAGTGAAATGGATATGATTGTACTGCTGCTACCTTGCACCAAGACTGTCGCTCCACGAATTCGGTTCCATTATTGTTGAAGTAGCAGACTCTTTGATTTGTTTCTGGAATCCTCTCCTCAAAAAATCCTACAGCGTCATACTTATGCGATCTTCAACGAAATTGACATATTATCGACTGTTTGCCTTCGTCATCTACTTGGCAGCATTGCCTGGTGCATACAGGCCTATAATAGTTCCAATCGCTTGGCGAAGCTCGACAAATATGACATTGCGGCCAAGGGGCGTTTTGTGCAATTATTTTTTCTAGTATGTCTCCTGGTTTCACGCACTTTATGCATTGCCTACATGGCCAGTTTCTTCCCCCTGGAAACCCTGTGTTTTTGCCTCCTACATGTATGTTTTTGTGGCACTGTCGTCTTTGTGTTTGACTCGCCAACGATTGGGATCAAGAGTTTTAAACTATATCTATTGCCTGACCTTTGCCGTGGTGTATATTTTTACTTTTACCCCTGTTAAGGATGCGCCCACAAAGTATAAGTATACCTCGTACCTGACGTTTTGTCTTTTGCAAAACATTGTCGTCTGTGTGCTATATATCCCCATATATTTACTTACCTCCATTATTGCCTTGTATATTTGTGGCATCATGCTCACGATATATTACTATCTGTTCTGCCACCCAAGTATTTTATGCCTATAGTTTATGTAAATTCTCTTTTTGAATTGTACCGGTATAATAAACGTGTCTTCATACGACGCAAGAGGACGGAAAAACGTCGGCCTAGCAGGAGACTTAAACGCGTGGTCAGAGGAATGGGAATCAAGATTTACCAATGTCAGAGGTCGCACCTTCCTTAAAAGCTTGGCCACTCTGGAGCTAAACCTGCTCAACACGGGATCAGAGCACACGTTCTCCCGAGCAGGTTTAGGATCAGTCATTGCTCTGACCTTCTGCATCAAGCCACCCCGACATTCAACGCTAGAACCCTCAGGCCAGATATTTTTCTGGAGAAGTTGAGCTTACCAGAACTCCTTAACGTCAGACTGCAGGGCAAGCACAAGACAATCAAGGTGCCACTCTCGCCACCGCGAGCCGATATACTGGTGGATCACGGATTTCAGATTTCAGAAGCCCGCTGCGGATGCATCCTCGCTAAGAGTAGACAAACACGCGTGAAGGGAACTCCGGCCTTCCAGATGATGTCCCAGAAATACTCGAATGCAAAGCGTCGAGTCGCAAAAACAGTCTCCGATACAGTTCAGGTTTAGAAAGCAAGAACGACGATGGAGGCAATCCGCATAGACAGGGACATACCTGCGGAAGCCATAGTCGCTCTATGGTACGCTTGTAGTTGGGACGTCATATTCGGGGCCATAGCGGCACCGTGAAGTACCGAGTGATGGGCAAAGCCGCATGCTCTGTCCTGACACCCACCCTAATGAATGTGATGTACGACGCAATCCTCAAGCTCCAACTCCCAAGAGACACAAGAATAGACACAAGAGGTTGCATTGCTGCTAGTAGCCAAGCACCTCGGCGACGCGGAGGCCCGCTGTAACCAATCGGTGGCCACCATACAAGATGGGTTGAGCTCTGTGAGCCTAAAACTGACTGAGCAAAAGACGGAGCGGTCCTTATTTTCAGCCACAAGAAAGTCTAGGTAGCG